AGTGATAAACTGCACCAGATGGACCGCGAGAGAGGTTCCAGGACCGATCTCGAGGAACCATCCCTGCACAGGGGGGCGGGCCGCAGACTGGCGCGCCCCTGACCTGGCGCGATCACCGAGCTTGACCAGAGAGTCCCGCTTCTGAGTCCAGAGAGACCCGCGCGCAGCTCGCCAGACACGAGCGCCTGCTGGCGAGAGCACTCCTCTGGCCAAGGCGCAGCCAGAGCCGCAGCCAGCGCCGCAGCCCGAGCCGCAGCAGCTCGAGCCGCAGCCGCAGCCAGAGGCCGTGGCCCGACCAGCAGCAACAAAAGAAAACGCAGCCCGAGGCCGCAGCCGGAACGCAGCCGAAGCCGCAGCCCGAGCCGCAGCCGCAGCTTGGGTAGCCAAGATTAGGGGTCAGAGCTGGCTGTCGAGGAGGAGGAGGAGGAGGAGGAGGAGGAGGAGGAGACGGAGGAGAAGGAGGAGGAGGAGAATAGGGAGGAGGAGCAGGAGGACCAGGGGAGTGCCGCAGGGGCGTGCGTACCATGAGACCCGACGTTGCGAAAAGAAACAGCATCGCAAAAGCAACCGAAAACACGACCAAAGCCCTAGATCCCATCTTCCTGCGGCAGTTCTACGAGCCAAATCGAGATGTGTTGACCCCGGGGCCTGAGACACAGCGACAAAGCGCGTTGTGAAAAATTGCAGCGTCCGAGTATCAATGAGTGCGAATGTGCGACCGCGGCCCCCTCGGGGCGCGCGAACGGCCACGGCCCCATCGAGGCTGTTCTCAGCCGGCACGTGCCGGAGGGAGACGCCCCTCTCCGCGAGGCTGCCGTGCAGGGGGCCGTCCGCGCTCATCCGCAGGTTGACCACGGTCCCTGGCCGGCGCAGCTCCTCCCAGCGGGCGGGCAGGACGAGGGAAGGGATGGCGGAGGGACGGATGAGGATCGAGGTTGCCAGACATGATACGTGCTCGCGTCGTGAAACAATCGCGACGGACGGTGTCTGGCAACTCTTAGCCTTAGCCTCGCGGAGGGGCCTTCGCCGGGCCCCAGGGCCGTCAGAAAACGACTCGGGATGAGAGACCAGCCCCCTGGGAGAAGAGTCGGGCCTTCAGGGGGTCCCGGGAGGAACACTCCAGACGCCGGATGTCTGGGTTGGACATTCGTCCTGGCGGCGCGCACAAAGGGGGGTGTAGGGGGAGGTGGCAAGGCTCCGTAGAAGGCGCCCGCCTCTGAGAAGGCGCCGGGCCCCACATCTATAGACAAGGCCCGCGCCTTCTAAGAAGCACGGGTGGGTCTGAGAAGCCCTTCACCACCACCCCTCCTCGCGTGGCCAATCATCGCGTGGCGGATCTTCGCTTGGTCTTCGAGGCCCTCTGCGTGGGCCGCCAGGGAAGCCCCCCGCCGCCACAGGCCGGATGCCCCGCGGCGCCCCGGAGAGTGCGCACGCATCGAAGGGTCAAAGGGGCCGGTCTGGGGAGGGGGCGGCCGCTTTTTGTCTGGACCATCATCATTATCATCCGCACCATCAGCATCATCATCATCATCATCATCATCATCATCATCATCATCATCATCATCATCATCATCATCACAAACACCACCATCATAATCAGCATCAGCATCAGCATCATCATCATCATCACCATCATCACCATCCGAATCGTCATCATCGTCATCGTCATAGTCAAACAAGTAGTTATACTGATAAGGATACTACGACTACTACTACTACTACTACTACTACTACTACTACTACTACTACTGCTACTACTGCTACTACTAATACTACTACTACTACTACTACTACTACTACTCACTACTACTACATTACTAAACTACTACTACTACTACTACTCGACTACACTACTACTCTACACGACTACTAACTACTACTACAACTACAACAACACTACTAATACTACGAACTACGACTACTACTACAACTTACTACTACTACTACGACTACTACGACTACTACTACTACAAAACGACGACGACGAACGACGACGACGACTTACTACTACAACTACTACTAGTACTACGCCTACTACACTAACACTCTACTACTACTACTCACTACATACTACTACTAATACTAACTACTACTACTAATAATAATACTACTACTAATACTAGCTACTACTACTACTACTACTACTACTACTACTACTACTACTACTACTACTACTACTACTACTACTACTACTACTACTACTACTACTACTGCTACTACTACTACTACTACTACTACTACTACTACTACTACTACTACTACTACCGTACTACTACTACTACTACTACTACTACTACTACTACTACTACTACTACTACGACTACTACTACTACTACGACTACTACTACTACTACTACTACTACTACTACTACTACTACTACTACTACTGCCACTACCACTACCACTACTACTACTAGTACTACTACTAATTATCCTGGCGAAAGACCCAACCATATGCAGTTGTGAGTGCCGCAATTGTGAGTACCTTCTTCGGTGGCGCTCCCTATGGGGCCACGAACCGCATGAGGGGTATGCCGAAATATGGCGGGGTACACAACGCAAAGGAATACGATAGGTCAGATTACGAAAGAATGAACGCGGGTGAGCCAGAGCGCGAGAGAGTCTGAGTGTGAATGGGTCTGCGTGGGAGTGAGTATATTTGCATGAATGCGATCTTGGCTACGCCTAGTGTAAATGTATATGAATGTGAATGGCTCGAGCATGCCTGTCCGAACACTCGTGACACTGGGCGTGGCCGCCGCAGGCAGCTTCCGCGGGAACCCCGACGGCAGCGCCCGCGCGCCGCGACGCCCATGTCGGCACGCCCCTCACGGGGATCGCACCCGCTTCCGCCCCTTCTTTTCCCCCCTCTTTGCCTGCGCGCTCCAAAAATCCATAGCTGCGGGCGCAGAGCAGCGCGGAGCCCCCGCGACGCGCGCAGGTCGCCGCGGAGGGGCCCCAGCGACGCGCGCAGGTCGCCCGCTGCGCGGAGCACAAAGAGCTAGCCGGCCGGCTGATTGCGGGCAAGGCTCCGGCCGCTGGGCAGAGCGACGACGGGCGAGCGAGGCGCTGAGCAGAGCGCCGCGCGGAATCCCCGCGACGCGCGCTGGTCGCCCCGAGAGGGTCCCAGCGACGCGCGCGGGTCGTCCGCGGCGCGAGGCCGAACAATTATGCGGGCAGTCGAGAGAAGGCGCGGCTCGGGGGGGGCGCTCCTCAGGTCAGGCCTCGCGGATAAACTCGGTGAAGCCGAGCTCCCTGGCGAGGGCCGTCGCCTCCCTCCTGCGCCGCTTCGTGCGCGCTGCAAACTGCTCCAGCTGCTTTCGCAGGCCCTCCGGCGGTCCTGCCAGGAAGAACTCGATGCGCGGCGCCCGCGTGAGCAGGAGGTCCTCGTGGCGCGTGGCGCGCGAGAGCAGCACATAGAGCTCCAGCCACCAGTCGTCGTCCTCCTTCTTGCCGCCCCCGACCTCGTGGCGGCCGCAGTCCAGGATCACACCTGGGCGACTCGGCCGAGGGAGCAGTGCGCCAGGCAGCCGACGGCCCAGGGCGAGAGTCCACAGGACCGA